TGGTTTCATCTACTTAATGTGCACCTCCCTACTTGCTAATAACCATAAGCTAATGGCTTTGGAGAATCTTTGGCCCCAGACCATTAGGCACTGCAGCTGGAGGAGGATTGGTGGTAGGAAAAAGCTTGCCATGTTCAATTACACATCTTTGACCTGCCTAAGTCTTTGGACTTGTTCTGACTTGATTTCTGTGGATTTAAAGCCAGTTAATGATCAACCTGGTGACTTGCTTTAAGGAATGTACAATTATTCAAAAAAAACAAGCTTGGATTGGAGCCAGAAGTCACATGCCATTAGACAGATGTTCTGAAAATGTCTGATCTATTGTGTTAATGATTTGATGGGTTAAAAAGCTGTGGCATTTCGAATGTTATAATAGTGGCAGGCGAGCCATGTGCTTTTCAACCCATTTCAGTTTATGAGAAGTACTTTCAGAAGTAATTTCACAGCTAACTGAGATATCATATATAATTTAGTACAAACTTAACTCTATATTTAATGAAAATTGATTTCAGAACATATGAAATGTCATGACCTGCATGTTGATGTGATTTTTTTTAAAAAACGGTAGCATTGCTAAATAAATTATAATAGCAAAGAGGGGAAAAAGCCAAAATGCTGTTAAAAATGTAACTCCATTTTAGTAGTTACTGCTTTACCTTCTTACAAATTGTAAAAATCAGAAATTCGTACCTTAATGATTGTAAGATATTTTAGAAATACACACAAATAAAATGTACATATAATTTTTGGAGGTCAGTTGGGTGTCTGAAAGTATTAGGTGCAGGTTGGCAAGAGCTGAGGCTTGGGGACCCCAAAGGGTGCATATGGGTACTGCAGGCGTCTAATCAGCTAAAACCCTGTAGCTTGCTGTTGATATTAGTGTCTGGCAAGCTTTCCCGCTGCTTGTCCAGGTTGGACCACCCTACCCTCTAAGGCTTTGGCTTGATGATTAACAGGAGCTGAGTGGGATGACACCCTGATCCCAGTGAAAGGTCTGCCCTTCCAGGGCCTGCCGATGAGCCAGGCTGAATGTGTTGTCATCAGTAGTGCCCTGGAATACTGCGGGCCCATCTGGCTCAGAACTGGACTCCTGAGACCGCCACAGAGGGCTGGCTCGATTTCGACATTTCGTTGCCAGGCATGTCACCTTGGAGCCAGTTTAGCTCCAAGCAGGCTCTGCTTAATGTATGTATAAGCATGCAGTCACAGCAGTGTAAGTGTGGTGAATCATCCCATACAGTAGGGCTGGTCTAACAGAATGTCAATATATGGACTTGAGTGCAGCAGAACGGTTTGTGTAGAAAGAGCAAATTGTGACCTGATAATTTTCATGCAGGGTGTTTTTTGGTCAGTTGGGCATGTGACACCAATGCAGAAACCCATCACCATGCTTAAGAGTATTCAAACCAGACTGAGAATTCTTTGTATGCCAAACACACATGGAAATTCCTATGTCTGGAATTGAATGCATACTCTTTTCCTGGACAGAAGCACCCTGCTAATTCTGGAGAGTATTAGGCACAGGTTGGCAATAGCCAAAGCTTGCAGATCTCAGAGTGTACCTCAGGATACTGCTGGAGTTTAACCATTTGAAAACATATGGAATGCCATTGAAAATATTGTCTGACAAGCTTCCCGTTGCTTGTCCAGCTAGGACCATTTTTCCCATTATGGCTTTGGTTTGCATACACAATACCAGATCATTGTTTACAATAAATTATTTTTAAATAAACTGATCCTGATCAGTTTGTGGAATCACTTATCAAATTTTGGATGACCCATAACTTTCTCCAACTCAACATCCCAGAACTGAGTCTACCCTGCTTGGCACCTCTGACGCTCACTCTAACTCTCAGAGTAAAGAATGATCTGAAATTTTGAACGTTTCAATTGGAATATTCTCAAACTTTAGAAAGAAATATTAACAAAAACACAAAGTAAAGACAGGAGATGTGTTTCAAGTAACAGCACTAGTCGGTCACAGGACTGAGGCTCCAAGCATATTTTGTGTCTGCAAATTTTCTATTTTTCTTTTTCAAAAGAAAATTAACTAAATGGGGAGGATTTGAGTAAAATCGCAGATATGCATTCCATTTGGAAAGTTGCACCCAACCCTGCATTTTGTCAGTAACAGCACAAAGACAAAGTAATTCTACATGCCTTAGTATGTGGAGGCCAGGTATTGACAACGTATGCTTTTCCTCAGAAATCCTGATCATAATGATGTTTAACTCATACCATAATGAAGCGGTACAGTGGCTCCTGAAGATATGGTAGTACAGTACGATTTACGATTAAGTGGTTCAAACAAATTGGTGAAGCTAAGTTAGATTGTGCAGCACAAAGCCCTCAACATTGTTTTGGTTTTAAACTCTTCCATGTAATTAATATTTTAATTAATATGCTGATTAGCATATTTAAATATTACATTAGAATTCCCAATGTCCTTTGGACCCAACCTGCCTTAGATGATTGAGTCATGCCAGTTGCGCACTTATTAAAACCCTTTGTGATTTAATGCAATCAAATTGTTCATCCGCCAGTTATGAGATACATTATTTTTCACCCAGTGAGGTGCAGAATTATTTGTCATGCTTGTATAGACAGTATTCTGAATAATAAGATAATAATAGACAGGTAGTGATATCAAAATTAGTTCCAGCACAGCTATTATGTACTGATAATAGGTGGCTCAGTGATTCAAGGACCCTTTAATGCTAAGCATCTTGGGATTCTTTCTGCTGCATCTTATCTCCGACTTTTCCCAAAGGTTTGGCACTAACACATATCACACCATCAATCATTAATCGGATAGTGCTCGCCTAGTTATGCTGCAGGGTATGACAGGTGTTTTGAAAGCACCATAAAATGGATCTGCACTGTCAGTTCAATCGATTGCACAATGTCTTGGTATTTTTTTTAAAAGTGAACATATGGCTGTGCAGGGCTGTGTGTGAGTGCATTTGTGTATGCGCTCTCCCACATACATGTATTCTGAGATAGGTGGATGAATAAGCACTCTGAGATGCTACCCTGAGTGGATGGTGCTATATAAGTGCAAGTTGTTGTTGTTGAATATGCAATAATAGAAAAGCCGGTAATGCCCATGTGTTAAAACTGATAAGTAATGCAAACACACTATATGTTACTCCCCTGATTCTCCATTATTTTGCTGAATACATACCTAAGGCACTTTATAATAATAATCCTTGCATTTGATATAGCATCTTATCACGTCATTCTTGCCGGGTCATGCCCCATTCATACATTTGGTCACAAATCCTCACTAAAATTGTGGGGATTCACTGCAAAACATTCAGTACAAAGGCAGTATAATTTTAAAAAAGTTCCTCCTATTATATCATATGAAGGATACACTTACAAATTTCACAAAGCAGAGTAGAACCTACATGGAACAGTTCCCTCTTGTTTTATTCACATTCATCAACAAAACTTACACTAATTGCATTTTACAGTATAATAATAATAATCCTTGCACTTGATATAGCGCTTTTCACGTCGGGAGGACGTCCCAAAGCGCTTCACAGAACACACTGTAAAGTGAATTGACTGTATAGTTGTGGGCGAACGCAGCAGCCAATTGAGCACAGCAATGTCCCACAAACAGTCATAGATTGAAAATGACCAATTTATTATTGTTTTTTATTTATTATTATTTATTATTGTTTTATTATATTCTGTAAATTTATTGTTTTATTATATTCTGTAAAGTTCTATGGGATGTCTTTCCAACGTGAAAGGCTCTATACCAAATGTAAGGATTATTATTCTGGACATGAGAGTAACATTTTGTTAGGAAATACTCCAAACAGCATGACCACACATCTCTCGCAGCTCTTGTTTGGGTGTGAAAAAATGCCTGTTGTGGGATAAAGTTTTCTGGGATATTTCATGCCATGTCATCCAATTTCTCAGAGGTTCAGTGGCCATCTGTCTGTAGCATTGATTCACTTTGACAGTTGGCAGGTTTACTCATCTGAATTCCCAATGACTGTCTTATTCTCTTCTTAACTTACCTCTTCCTTCTTTTAGATCCTCCAAATACTGTCTGTCTCACTATAACTGGTTTACAGCCAATTTAGCTACAATTTACAGTACAGGAATGTGTTCTGATACAGAGTATGGATCTCACACAAAATTCTGTTAAGAAAGCGATTTCCTGTGGCAGTACCTATATACTATTGTTGTGCAAAATTAGATACAGGTGCAACAAAATACATCCTCCAGCCAAATTACCAAAAAATTAGTAATTGCAAAGTTCAGCTATTTAGAATAGGTCCATTACTCAACATAATTTTTCACTTGTTGGATGTTTAATATACATTCAGCTTTGGTGCTATGCTTAATTAAACTTTGATATAAAGTATGCGTGGATCTGAAAAAATGCTAAGGAGTGAACTTTAAACCACTGACAACTATGCCTCCTTAATGAATTACCAGAAGATGTTTGAATATGCAGGAGCACTGTCCCTGACCAACCTTTAAAACGATTGTTTAAAAAGTATAAGGATAGCAGCTGTCAGATGGTAGAACTGCTGAGATCTCCTTGAATAAACAACGTGAAGAGAGAGAAAATATTAATGCCTCACAGATGATGTGTTATAAGATTGATTCTACCCCTTGTAGAAATAGACATATCAGAAGCGTAAGATGTGCATATCCAAATATGCAAATATTTTATTTACATCCAAACTCAGAAGACACTTTGTGATAATCCTCAGAAACTTTCCTTTTCACGGCTAAAACAAATGCAGAATTCTCTGGGTGGACGAATTGATGCTTTGTGTGTATTTTCTGTGGATAACTGTTGATTTACTTTGTTTTAACCAATGTTTGGGGGTTTTGGGGATGCCGCTAGCAAGCCTGTGAAAAGCACAACAACGGCTGACCATAGGTTTATCTGGGTATTGAAATTTCTCAGGTAGTTATTTCCCTCGTACTGTTTTTGAAAATTCTTGTCTTCTCTTTTCTTTCAGGCATTACTAAACACACAAAACAAATTGAGAACTCTTGTTCCAAATTTTACGTTTAACCTTGGTTTCTCTGGAAAGTTCTACCACACAGGTAAAAATAATTTTTTTCCTACTGTTTTTTCTTTCTTTAGGTACATTTTGTATATTTTCCAGCCATTATGACATGCAGACCACATTTCTCTTATTGCCCTTTAACCCAAGAGACGAACAAGTGGTGCCCAGGTTTTCCCCTCCCTCCTGTCTCCCTCTCTCTTGTGTCTCTCTCCACCTCCAGACATTCAGGGTTCTTGCATTGTGAATGATCACTGATATAATCCTGCATCCTACAGATAGGTGGCTGGTACAGTTTATTTAAAGCTCATTTACACTGATTCATATTTGGCAAGTATCTAAATGACAATTCCGATAAATGGACCGTGTCCATATTTTATGGAATTATGTCTTCCTTATCGGCCATTACAGTTGGCATAGCCCTGGGTGAAACAATAAACCCTTTTTAGTGGATGTACTGTAGGCCCCAGATTCAGCACAGTTTCCTTAACTTTGAGACGTGGAAAATATTTGCAGACACAGTAGATTTGCAAACAGCAGCCAATTAAAGAAATAAAATATTGTGGCTTGTTTGTGTTCGGAAACCAAATACTAAATAATTGAAGTTGGAAGATTTTATTTCTAATGATGAATTCAGCCAGCAGTTGACTCCTTGCCAAATTCAGCCCAGGCGATACTGCATTTGTGGGTTTAGGTTTGGGGAATGTACATTATCATAGAGATTGCAGGAAATCTGCAATCATCACCTGAGGGTGAATGTTGCTGTAGAGTGAGATCTTGATTTTAGTGCAGCTGTGTATAATACAATTCCTTATTTTATAAACGATACCCTGGAAAACAAATTCCTAACATGCTATGCAGGTTTCGTCATTGCTTGAAGGATTCATCGAACTTTGATCTGTGACATTTCAGAAACAAATGTAACAAGAAACAATTCATGATGGACCTATATTAGATGCCAATTGTGGGAATAGGAATGGCTTAAAATGTTTTCAGTAGCTGCCTTCTTCTGAGAACTTTTAACTGTTCTGTAAAATTGTGAAAGCTTAAGTTTTTTTTGTAATACTTCTAAGTCCAGTTGAATTTCTCAGTTCTCAACTGAATTTCTTGTACATTTTTTTTCAAGAGACGAAAAGATTTATAAAGAATGTGCAACACAGAAACAAGCCACTTAACCAAATGAGCCCATGCCAGTGTTTATACTCAACATGAGTTTCCATCCATTCCTTACTCACTCCCACATCCTTCTAATCCCCTCTCCCTCATATGAAGGGTGTAGTACTGTATTGTGTGAATTGCTAAATACAGCATTCCCCAGTTTAGTTCAGAGCTACTTATGAGGGTATCCTGTGGATCTGCACTGCACTGGAAACATGGTACACTTCTAGCTTCCAGTGCTGACTGTCTGACATCGTACACTGCATGGGAAGTTCTTCTCTTCCCTCAACACATTTTTTTTTATTTTTGCATGCCTCTATAAGGCCCCAAGCCATTGCATTATATTGGAGTATAGGGTCAGCGTATGAGTGTGCAAAAGGAGGAATGCGCTCCCTGACCAAGAGACAATACAAAGACGAGGAATACGAATATAAGAATTCAAACTGTTAAGAGCTAGAAAGAGGATAAGGTGATGCAGATGCAATTAGAATCAAGGCTAGAAATCGCACAAGCTGCAAAGCAACCTGAAGCCTGACAAATGGATAAGAAATAATTGATGACCAATTAGAAAGAGACTAAAGGAAGTCACCTTGATGGTGACCTTTTGTCTGATTCAGATATATCTAGATTAAGCAGCGAGTCCTCTGGGTGTTCCTTTAATACAGGGTTCACACTTTGGAGTCGTTTGTAATTTGATACAAAGCTACGCTCTGTAACAGAGCTAAACTCTTTTTTTTACGTTTTATGGAAATCGACCAGCCTTCAGAGCTTTTATGAAAGATCTGTAACTCCACAGGTTTTAATTTACCAACAAATGCACTTCCAGGGTAAAAAGTAATGTTACAGTACAGATTCATGTAGCTTCCCCAGAGATTGCAGAAAATCCAAAGGAAAGGAGAAATTTTTAAGAAAAGTCAGTAAATATTGCATATGTTTATGTGGTGGATTGAGCATTTGTACACTCTTTGACCTTAGTTTATAAGATCATTATTTACATTAAAACATTAGTATGTAACATATCTTGGCAGAAACACATGTACCTGGATAGCATTGCCGTGTGTGGAGGGGGGGAAGGGTAGTTGGACAGGGCATTTTGGGATTGGATGGCTCGGCGAGGTTCAGTCCCACACAAGGTTGTACATTCACCATCTGAGCCTTGCAGAGTCTTTCATCTAATCATTGCTCATGATTTGTCACCACGCAGATTAGTTGACACATTTGCCTTTCTTACAACAGTTGGTGTACTTCAAAATAAATCATTGTGTGCAACATTTTTAAATGTTTCTGTATGACAGCGCACTATATCAATCACCAGTGTTATTGTTTTTTTATTTCTTGTAATCGATTTTAAAACTTAAGTAATCATTATATTCACTGCTTCTTTGCAACACTTTCTTATAGGAGCCAGTGAAGAAGATGATGGAGACGATAAGCTGTTGAAACACAGAAATGAGTTCTGGTGGTTCCCACACATGTGGAGTCATATGCAGCCACATCTTTTCCACAATGAAAGTGTTCTGGCTCAGCAGATGAAACTGAACAAGCAGTTTGCACTGGTATGTAATAAATTTGGCTCTCTGGGGCACCAAAAAACTAATAAGAATACCAGGAGTAAAACATTAGATATGAAAATATTTATGAATACTGGTTTCAGTCCCTATTGAAACTTACCGAACGGAGTAGTAACCTGTATCCAGTACTCTGAAAACAATGGAATGTATTTCTTTCAACCGAGCATGATCTGTTGCCAGTATCCCCCAATGTCTCTTTGGATACAAAGACCTTCAGTGAATACAGGGCTCACACAGGATCCTTTGAAAGTTACATACATCCTGGAAAAGATTAACTTTCAAAAACTTCAGCGTTTCATTTTTTCTATTAATTATTTGTGGATCAGAGGATTTGGGTTGCTCTGGTTTGCTCTTGGCTTGGTCACCAGCAACTATTTATAATAGTTCAAAAATAATTACAAGAAAAATCTGTTTCTGCTCAAAGTTATAATGGGCTGGTTGGTTCAGGAGCTTTAGGTTTCACTTCAGATCTTCAATAAATAAATTTTTGCACCTAATTTTTATATCACAAATGGATTGTTTTTCAATTTGAAGGAACGCTGCTGTGACTTGTTACCAGAAACTATATATTTCTTAAAAAACCTGATTAAACCTCATTAAAAAAGTTAAGTTTGAAAAGCCACAGATAGGCAATTGGGTGGCACAGTTTCCTTTCAGCCTGAAATTTGGTTTCAAACTCAATCTAAGTTTACTACACGTTACAGTATATCCTGTGAAGCGCTTTGAAATGACTCGAAGATGTGATAAGGTGCTATATCAAATGCAAGGATCAGTATTATGCTGATAAAATGAAGCGCTATTATAATAATCATTTCTATTTGATATAGCACCTTATCACGTCGTTAAGATGTCTCAAAGCACTTCACAGAATCTACTGTGAAAGTGAAATTGTCTATATTTTGTGGGCAAAACACAACAGTGTCCTACAAACGGTCATAGATTGAGTGAGCAAATTATTTTTTAAGGGATTATTATCCCTGGAAAAGCGATCCACCAATCGTCTAACAACCAAGTTCCTACTTACTGCTAGATAAACAGAAGAAGATGGAGTAAGGAAACTTACCTAAGGTTTCGCCCTGCCCGGGAATCAAATCTGGGTCCTCTCGCTTGTGAAGCGAGCGCTCAAACAGTTTTAATATAATCCCATGAGCCCATACCATCAAATTGCCCATATTTGACACATGTTGACAATTTCAAACAGAAAGATCACAAGTATAATTGGTATGGGAACTGAAAGAACTCACACTAATAGGTGTTGTTAGGAGGTTGATGTAAGGCTCATTGTTATCGATTTAATCTGGACCTAATTTGTGCTGTTCGTGATCTGTGGATCTGAAAAATTGGAAATGTTCAACTTAAATGTTTAACTTAACAAGTGAAAAATGCACTGAGAATGAGAAGTAAAAGTTGTGTTATTTTAATAGGATAATGTTGATACTTGCCCTTCAAGTATTTCAGCTAAGAGGTGTGCAAAATGAAATTGTAAGAATAACTAAAGAGCAATTATGGAGAGGAAAGGTCTCCATTAATCCTTTGTTTCTAGTACATATTTGCCTATGGCTGCACTTGACATATATTGAATAAGAGAGACTTTACCAAATGCCTTCATTATTTTTGATTTGATTAATCCTGCCCAGCGAAGCCAGCCCAAACTACCTAAGAAAATCTTGGAAATTTGCTAGCTGGAAGCGGAGAAGGTCAAATAAATGGAAAAGACTAACATGAACAAACTGGTCTTTCAATGGTGCTTCAGGGTGCATGATTGTTTTGGGGAGTGTTTATTTTAAAGATACTTTTGGACTGATGTTGGGGCCAATAGTAGAGAAATGCTACGTGTCTACCAGTCTGATCTGTTGCTGCATTAATTCTGTTTGGACAGAATTCATGGCTCTATTTGGAAGAAAACCGTACATCTCTGTCAGCTGTTAAAGATCAGAGCAGTCAACTGATTAAATTATTCAAAGTCTTCCTAAAACAGAAACAATAAGAATTGGAGAAAGGATAACAACTGTAATCAGAAATAGATAATTTATAACATATCTACGTACAGAATAGGATTAATTGTATATGTAATTAGTTTAATTCAGCTATTCTGGTGCTTTAAGGAATAAACATCCAGGGATTTTGAACCTCTTTGATGGTAGAATATTAATCTTGAAAATATGCTTACAGAAAGATTAATAAGATCTCTGTTGAATCCTGTTTTTGACATGCAAGTGGAGGGGGAAAAAATTGCTATTGAATTTTCATCAGCTTTCAGTGGTATGTAGGTCATCAATTTCATCAGCCTGCGGTCCCAGATTAGAAAGGGATTTCCTTCTTAGGATAATTAAAATGTTTGCAATTTTAATCTCGTTTTCTGCTGCCGAGTACATGCATATGAAAGAGGGTCAGAACTCTCCAACCCAGCTTTCTCCTATGCACAAACAAACCAATCAACAAATTCACTCAAAACAACAGAAACTGGATAAAAATCGGAAACGCTTTAGAATCGAAAGTTAGACCAGCATCTTTTCTAACCATCAATAACTCTTCCTGGAATGAAGGCCTACTTAAATCATTGGCATGTTTGCAATACGTTCCTTTGCCCTCCAAAGGACACCTCCAGTATGCAGGTTAGCTCTTCATGTGATAGAATTGGAGCCTAGATCTAAAAGTCCAGTTAATGAGGGATTTATTCTTTCCAAGTTTACAGATTCTGTCGGTGTGATAGTGAGATGTACCTTTTACGTTTGGCCCTCGCCAATCCTAGCTTCTAGACTAGCAGGATCGTGGAACAATGTAACTACTGGATATGTTAAATGTTTGTTTCATAGTTGACTGGTTGAACACAGTCCGAACACTCTAAATTGTTCATTTGGATCTTAACTCTAGCTAAATAATAATAATAATAATCCTTGCATTTGATATAGCGCTTTTCACGTCGGGAGGACGTCCCAAAGCGCTTCACAGAACACACTGTAAAGTGAATTGACTGTATATTTGTGGGCGAACGCAGCAGCCAATTGCGCACAGCAATGTCCCACAAACAGTCGTAGATTAAAAATGACCAATTTTATTATTGTTTTTGGTTTTTGGAGGGATTATTATTAGGCGTATGGAGTAAGGAAACTTGCCCAAGGTTTCTCCCTGCCTGGAATTGAACTCAGGTCTCTCGCTTGCAAAGCGAGTGCTCTAACCACTGAGCTACAGGACTCCACAACACTGAAATACTGTTCACAATAGATTAACATTTGACCAGTTTCAATGTGGCCTGCTCTGGATTGTCAAGCAAATGCTTTCACTACCACATGACTTCCCACCCAGTCTTAATTTTATTAAATCATTGACAACATGGCAGGTGAGTCTCTCAGCTTCTCCCAAACCTTTTGTTCATAACGTCTAATCAGGAATGAAGAGCAGTTGGGTTGATTTTGCACTGTTTTGTGCTTCATTTGTGCTTTGAGTTAAAATGACTAATGTACCTGAACTGTGCTCCGAATGATTGTGCCTGCTGATTTATCTTTAATCATTGTAATAGTCCAGGGCGGTGTGCATGAATCAGAATTCATTACTCACCATGAAATAAAAGTGCAACTTTGTCAGAAACACTGAGCTGTGACGTGGCCTCTAGAGGACACAAAGAAAGGCTTTCTGCAAGTTGTGAGAGTTAGTGCGGTCTCTCGTTCCCGACTGTTATCGCAGAACCCTTCATCTTCGATCTTCACCCTCCCGATCCTGACCTCCAGCTCAGGTCCGAAACACTGACTGTTTGGTGCCTTGGGATGTCCTCCTAACGTGAAAGGCGCAAAACAAATATAATTTTGTTGTTGTTAGAATGCACTTGCTTCCTAAGTTTCTCTTGAAATCCCTGCTGGAATCAAAAATGACCAGTTCAAAACTTAATAAGATGATCTCTACACTTTCTCCCTTCCTCTCCTCTTGCAACCCCACCCCTCCCAATTGAGGAAAGCTGATTTTCTGTCTTTCTGTATATGTATTAGTACAGTGAGCAGGTTGAGCTGTTTCTAGGTGTAACTTTACCACTGTTGAATGTAATACAATTGGCTTTAATGAAGATGTGTGACATGATGGAGCTGTTTCAGCTGTGCTGAACCATCAGTTTATAGTTTTTACAACTATGTCCTCACATTGCTTTATAGCTGGATGCCAAATTTAAAAGCGATTTATCAACCTGGTTTCTGTGAATGTAATGTCAACAACTAGGGGAATCTGATGTATAACCTGCCAAATATGCCATCTATCAAGTATATTCAGTTCTATAAATAGCCTCTTACCTTATGATGCCTCCCAATATTGAACTAAATATAGTGTGTTGAACATTTTACATTTCCAGGCAACTCATTAACTATTTTTCAGGTGATTTACCAATTGTGTTTTTCAATTCTCCTGAAATAGTTTGCTGAATTCTAATGAGATTGAAGCATCAGATGGTACTTTAAAAACACCAGACCAATTATGTCATAAATGCACTGATGTTTGGTTTCCTAAGTAAATTGAGTTGGCAGTATTTGTGTAATTGGGAACTATGAGTTGAATGTCATACACAGTAGAAGCATTGAAAGAGACTGACTTGACTAGGTCAGCCCATTGAATGTTAAAACATAAGGTGTAACCGGAGACTTCGTTTTTAGATAAAGTTGAGGTAAATAGAGGCCAGAGCGCATAGAGCCCCCATTCTGAGTATTTGTTCAGGGAGGCTGTGAAAATCATTTCTATGTTAGCGGGTAGTGTGTCATGGAGGGTGCAGCATATACTATACTGCAAGGACTGGATACGTGGCTGGGCATCAGAGTATGGATCCCACCCTCTCCTGATCCCAGTAGTTGCTCTGCCACCAGAAGATGAATATCACCGAGATTTGCTGGCTTATCTAAAGGATTGAATAAAACTGCTAAGAGAAATGGTATCTTTCAGTATCATCTAATGCCCGACAGCATCAATGGAGAAGCGGTGGTTATGGGCACTGGGTCTGTGTTAAGGGGTCGTTTGTTTGATGCATTTTTCAACAATTCTTCAGCATGTTAAGAAGTAGCACAGGAATACTATTAATGGCAGAGTGCTTTGTAAATGTACAGAATTCAACAAAGAAACCTCATTCTGTTGGGTTGATCACAAAGTACTGGATGTTCACTTCTGACGTCTTATCTGTCATTTTGAACAGCACAACCTCGTTATTAATTAATCCTTGCCTTTGATTTAGCACCTTTTACATCAGGGGGACGACTCAAAGCGCTTCAAGATATACTGTATTGACTGTGTATTTAATAGGCAAACGCCTACAAGTCCCAAATCAGGACTCGGAATTGCATAGTCTAGGCTGACACTCCCAATGCAGTACTGGGTGTGTGCTGCATTATCACAGATGACGTTCTTCGGATAAGTTGTTAAACCAGTGAATTGCTTTGCACAAATTGGCTGCTAGGTTTGCCCACAAAACACAGTCATTCCACATCGCAGTAAATTCTGTGAAGTGTTTGGGATGTTCTACAGACATAAAAAAAACAAATGCAGAAATTATTATTATTGATATGATCCATAAATTACATCTTATAGCTATTTTTAAAGTACATGCATTTGTGTTTTAATGTAGGAATTTCACTTTGAACTAGCAGCTTTTCCTAAACAAAGCCCTCTTTATATTGCAGGATCATGGAATCCCCACAGACATGGGATATGCAGTGGCACCACATCATTCAGGAGTGTACCCAGTGCACACACAATTGTACGAAGCCTGGAAATCCACTTGGGGAATCAAAGTCACCAGCACAGAAGAGTATCCCCACCTGAAACCAGCTCGATATCGCAGGGGATTTATCCACAATGGTATAATGGTAGGTGACTAACCATTAACATTCTGTACAGTGCTTCCCTGCTGCAATTTCACCGCTGTCTATAATACACATGGGGTGGTGAATGTTCAAATAATGAAGTGTGCATTTTCTTGCAAACTCATCACTTCCTATCACAAGACCACTCTTCTAAGTTTTAAAATCTACTCTTCTTCTGTCTGGTGCAATCATAGCACTGGGAATTTCAAACATAATGGAGTTATGTAACACTTCAAGTAAAGCTTTCTCAGTGGGAAAAGGAAATAAAACCACAAGAGAAGACTGTTTTTCACCAATGTAAAAATGAATTGTAGTAGATACAGATATTTCTTGGTGTCTGTTTTGGTTCCCTGGGGTCTGGCTACTTCCAGTATTTGGGCCAAGTAGTCATTATGTAACTTGTATATCTATATTAGTGTCTAATTTTCAATAATTTTATTTTACTTGGACCCAAATCAGTATTTTAAACCGGATTTTTCATATTAATTGTAACTTCTAGTTTGCAAATATCATTACCATTTTATTGGAGACATTATTACACTGGTAAAATTGCCAAGTCGAAAAGATGACAAAGTCCAAGAAACAGGCCAACAAATAAGTCATTGGGTATTTTGACAGTGTTGAGCATTACAGCTGAGTCTTATTCAGCCCTTATCTAATGTTCACAAATGTTGGGAACACTGAGGCTATTCATAGTACATCTCATCTCTCACCTAGCTGAGGTAATTAGCACAGATCAGGGACTGAACCTAAGACCTTCCTGGTTAGTATAGGTTAATATCGCACCAAATCATGCATTTACATATTGACTCAATGAAGGAGCCCACTTTGTTGATTTTGTTTCTTTAGATACCTGAATATGTTTGTGTGTGTCTATATCTATATATATACACCTGTAAACCATGAGAAAGTAATGTCGTTTTAAGCTTTTTTTTTACCAACGTGCAAATAAGTGACTGAAGAGGATATGCATTTTGATGTGAATTTTATCCCGAGGATAAATAAGTCCAAAATCCCCTTTTTTCTGTTCATTCAAATCCCTTTTTTAAAAAAATGTTAGACTAGTTTGCTGAGAGGCAACAGACAGGAGCAATAGATCATTTATTAATCCAATGAAGTGGTAGTTTGATATTTTGAGGGGCTTATTGCCTTTAATGGACTTGTTTCATGTATTGTAGAACCTGTAAAGTATTTTAATTAAGCAAGTAGTTTTTATAAAAGTAAAATATATAAAAATAAATGTAAAACTGAAATATAGCAAAGCAGGTTTCCCTTCCAAAACAAAAAACACCAATCAGAAATGTGGCAGTACATTATCCAGCAGAGTAAAGGGTCTGCTTTGTTATTATAATCAATATTTTTTATGCTCCATTTAGCACTTCATGAGGAATATTGCTGTGCAGTCAGTTTTAGGAAGCTTTCTTGTTGCTGAGAGGATCCATTGCAAAATTGTTTCTCAAAGTACTTAATTAGTGGACTGGAATCTTGGTAATCTTGCAATAAATGTGTGTGGGTGATGCTAAAGTAGTTAAGTATTGGGTTTTGCTTGTCTTTTGAATACATAACCTGTATTACAGGAATCTAGAACGCCATCACGCAATGACTTCTGTGCTTAAAACAATAAAACCCTAATTGTGACTTGGCTGAGCTGCATTGTGTGTTTATTGCCACTTAGTAAAATAGGTATATTATTAGAACACATTTCTGTATGAAAAAGCTGAAGCCATGGTAGTTTCTATAAGTTAAATTTGGTATGTAAACTGCAGTTAAATTCCTTTTACCCCTTTTTCTTTCCTCATTCCCCCGCTCCACCCCCCTCACATTCTTGCAGGTTTTGCCTCGTCAAACCTGCGGCCTGTTCACACACACTATATTTTACAATGAGTATCCAGGAGGATCCAAAGAGCTGGACAAAAGTATCCGGGGCGGGGAGCTTTTTCTCACAGTGCTGCTTAATCCGGTAAGTAGTGTTTAAGACAGGAGTTAAATATTTGATTGAGGAGACAATTGCCTTGGGAAAACATTCAGTGCCTTGAGACATCCTCTTGACATGACAATTCAATTTGTTGTTGTTGGCAACTTTTTTTTCAACAAAATAGATTTTAAGAAGTAATGTTTGAACAACCCAATTCCGGTTTTGTATGGCGTTCCTTTCCTTTTTGGGTTTTCTTGTGACATTTTGAGCCATGTCCCTAATGACAAGGAAGTGTAGCTGACCAGCTCTCAGGCTTCTGCCAACAATAATAATCCTATGATTCTTACATTTGATATTGCACCTTTCATGTTGGAATGACTTCTAAAGCACTTCACAGGATTTACTGTAAAGTGAAGTGACGGTGTATTTTGTAGGTGAAATTAGCAGCCAGTTGAAGTGAATGGACAGTTTTAACTGGGGATTGTTAACAAGGACTTTGGGAGAAACTTCTTTTTTTTTGAATACAGTACAGCCATATTATCTTTAACGTCCACCTCAGGGTCAGCCTAGACTGTGAGTTCATAGTCCTGCTATGGGGCTTGAATCCAAAAACCCACAACTTAGAGTCACCTTAGCGAAAATGACGCTTTGGCTCCCTGAGCTTTCCCCACACCTTCCTGGGATGTGTCAGCTTGATTCTCGCCCCTGAGTCAGAAGGATGTGGGTGTGAGCCCCATGACAGGTTTGAACTCACATAGTCTAACCTGACACAACAGTGCAGTGCTGGAGGGAAGTTGCATTGTCACAGGTGCGGTCTTTCAGATGAGACATTAAACCGAGGTCCCATGTGCCTCTCCAGATGGACATTAAGATCCCATGGCACTATTCAAAAAGATTTTTCCAGGTGTCCTGGCCAACAAAACCCCAAATAAAATTGATCATTTGTTTCATTGCTGTTTGTGAGACATTGCTGTGCCCAATTGTGTGGGTGTGTTTGCCTAGAAATACAGTCACTCTATTTCATAGTAAATCCTGTGAAGCGCTTTGAAACACCCTTCCAACTTGATAAGGCGCTATAACGAATACAAGGATTATTGCTATTATTATTGTGACTCAGAGTTAAGAGTGCTACCAATTGAGCCCAAGTTGATACCAATAGCAATACTGTTCTTCAACAATAGAAAAGGTTGCTGTGGTTTGCTGGGCTCTGCCTGCACCTTCTCATAATGGCAGGACCGATATTGTGAACTCACAATGTGAGGAGTAGGTTGTCTTTCTTTAAATTACTATAGTTCAGCTCCAGACAGTGCTACCAGCTGTTACAGACTTTCATTGTTCAATTAAAGAATTTACCACCTATTATAGCAAAATGAGCAGATAAGTGGAGTCCTGTAGCTCAGTGGTTAGAACACTCGCCTTGCAAGCGAGAGACCTGGGTTCAATTCCAGGCAGGGCGAAACCTTGGGCAAGTTTCCTTACTCCACACGCCTAATAATAATCCCTCCAAAACAAAACAATAATAAATTGGTCATTTTCAATCCATGAATGTTTGTGGGACACTGCTGTGCGCAATTGGCTGCCGCGTTTCGCCCACAAAATATGCAGTCAATTCACTTTACAACATATTCTGTGAAGCGCTTTGAGACGTCTAGAAGACATGAAAAGCACTATATCAAATGCAATAATTATTATTAAGGAAGAGCTAGATATTGTTGTAATAGTTAACAAAATTACTGGTATTGTTTGATAGCTTTATATTGGAATAATTAAATAGTTATGTTGGTCAATAGCAAGTCATTTCTGCATGATGCAATTGCCTGGGCAATTTTATTAATATCTGCTGAACTGTAAAATTATAACTTCTTTACAAAATCAGGATAAATCATCCAGGTGCAATCAGGTGGAAATGCATTCAGCTGATTTCCAAGACCATTAGTTTTGAATTAGTTTGGCAGCTTCAACAAGGAAGCTTTGATTTTCTGTGTTACATGGTAATTACCACTGAATGCTGTAACACCTGTATGGAAAGAGCTTTGTCTGATAATCAACACTGAACACGTATCTTACATAAGTTGAATAACAGGCAGTATCTACAGTCTCAGTCACAGTAGTGTTTGGGGTACTGCAATTGCCTTCCTGGAGAAGAGAGGGGGAATATCAATAGGACGGAGCTTCCATTCCTGATTATTATCTTTGACTAATCCCGGAAAGTGCATGCTGGTAGACATCAACTGAAGAGAAGCATCAGTGTGGATGTGATGCCCTTAAAATTTAAGACTGCTACTCCTCACTGTCTGGGCTCAGACATCAAGAATAGCTACATGAGCAAAGTACCCGAGGGCAGTCTGCATCCATAGAACTATACGGCGGCTTCAGGGAAGAGGATAGGAGGAAGACAAAATAGTTAAATTCTAGTTTTCTTAAATGTGATAAGTGTTGAGTATTCTGCAAAGTTTCTAAAAAAAAAGTTCATTTTAGACACTGATTAACATATTAATAGCATTTTATATCTCACAATTTTCACCCTCTCTCCTAAATTGCTTTAACTTGGCATTTCTTGTCTCTTACCAGGAATATAGACTGCGCTGACAGATTAATCAGTGAGAGATTCTCATTGCAAGAGTTTTTCTGAATAATTTTGGTATTGACTAGCACAAGATAGTCTTGCCTCTTGTGTGCTTGTGTGTGAACAAGCTTGAATAACCAGGAAAAGTTGATACAAAAACAGAGATCGCTGGGAATACTCAGCAGGTCAGGTAGCATTATAGATGTTGCCTGACCCGCTGGGTGTTCCCAGCGATCTCGGTTTTTGTTTCAGATTTCCAGCATCTGCAGTATTTTACGCTTTATTCATAAAGCTGATGATCCTATTTGTACAAAGAGAGTTGCTGACAGACACCTTCCCACATGACCAGGGCATCTTCTTTTCAGATTTCAGACTAAATAATCTCTTGTGATATCCCAGTGATAACATTTTTCAGTAAAGTGGAGAATATAAATTTCATTACAACAGCTTATTCTGTGTTCTGAATTGTAGTGTTGGTATGATAATTTGAATACTCTTTACAAAATATTGTCCGGCAAACATTGAAACAAGTTCATACAAATTGTCTTGTTGTACGGTTAGTACAAAAAAAATATTTCAACAAAAATGATAAATTTCTGTTCAGGAGTCCTATCATCCTGGTGAACAGGCACTGGTTTTACACAACCTAAGCATTGCATGTTGATGTCTCAATGTTTGGTTGAAATATGAATGCTGAATATTTATAGCATTATAAAATGTTACAGTGCTCTCACCAGATTTGATCATTGGTTTCTCCTTATCTGAGTCTAGGTTACTTATGCTTGCTGCTGTCTGTATGCCTTTGAGTACAAAGTTAATTACCATGTAGAACTCTTTGTTTCTCAAACCATTATTATAATTTGACACAGAAAATCATTAACTGTATATTATTGCACACCTTGATCGCTTCTAACTACTGATGTAAAAGATACAAGACATACTTGAGAGCGAAAATTAGATATGTATGGAATGAAAAGAATTGCTATAAAAAGGCAATGCCTTGGTAATTCCAAACAATGGACGTCACAAAATTGACTAAAGAGTGAAGAATATGGGTAATAGAGCAAGCAGGGAAAATCTTTATTTGGGTTGCCTATTAATATCAAGTGTCAGAAGCAATGAAGAAACTAACTGGAGGATAGCAATTGTAAATGAAGACTTTTAATAGCATGAGTACATATCTGTGCCTCTGTAACATCAAACTGACAGAGAGAAAGTCCAAGTGTGGTCAGTCTTTTTGTATGTTTGGTCTTGAAATTTGAAGTATGAAGATCGGAGATATTTGAGTTCTGATGCTACCAATGCACAATATAAAGTCCATGGATTAGTATAAAAAAAGATATATAAATGAAATCAATGATGTACTGTAGGCGCATTATTCACCAGTTTCAGGGAAGGTTGTTGCAATCTGGAAACTTTGATTGTAATAGGCAGAGAATGAAACTTTTGGTCGAATGGTTAGATGATAGAAACGAGAAAGCCAGAAATGTTAGAAATGTTCAGCTGTATGGCAGAATGATATGGTAAAATTTATATTTAGAACTCTGATTTTAGGGATTCAACAATCTACTCATATCTAAAGATGTGAAAAAGGCCATCTGGCCATGTTTTGGTTGGTTTAATGAAACCTTTTTTTTATTTGAGGAATAATATAGACAAACTGTGAACGATTGCATGTCACCATGATTTATAGCATTATGCCAAGCTGGTTTATTAATAATAATAATCCTTGCATTTGATATAGCGCTTTTCACGTTGGGAGGACGTCCCAAAGCGCTTCACAGAACACACTGTAAAGTGAATTGGCTGTATATTTGTGGGCGAACGCGGCAGCCAATTGCGCACAGCAGTATCTGAAAATGTCTAGGAATTATGATCAGGCAGTATAAATAGTAGGAAGAACATGTATTCATAATCCCAGTTTATTATTTAAATGAATTAGTGACAAGTCAAGGCTGATGGTCACGAGGCAGCAGGCAATTTCTGCAGCGTGCCACAGCAAAATTAAGTCCTGCACTTCATGGTACTACTACTTTGTCATTTCCGTTACATTTATGTTGGCTAGCACAGGTAGCACAATTCTCCGATCACCTTTTCAACTAGATAGCGAAATATAGTTGATGAAAACGTTTCTTTGAAGCCTCCACTTACCAGGCAGCCTGTGAGATAAGGAGAATGTACCCAGCCACCATCTGGCTTCATAAACGCTGAAAGCTTCTGTTGGTGGCCACTGGCTTCCCATCACCCAGAGGATGCAGTTCAAGATCCTGGTCCTCACCTTCAAAGCCCTCTATGGCCTTGCTTCCCCCCCTACCTTTGCAACCTCCTAACCCCCTACCAATCAGCCCGCTCCCTCTGCTCAACTGGCACCGACCGGCCTGCTTCACGTACCCCACCTCACCCATATTGGTGAGCGGGCCTTCTGCCACTCTGCCCTGACTCTCTGGAAATCCACCCTGCAGTTCTTCTGCCTTGTCCC